TGCAGGTTGTTTGATTAGCTGGTAGCCATAGCTAATTTCCTTTGTTTTCTTTCTTAGCTCTTCCCTGGAAGTAAGTGTGTGTGTGTGTGAGAGAGAGAAAGGGCTTGAGGGTACCCCACAGGGAGGAATTCCCAAGTGCTCCTTCCTCGGTTCAAAGGGTGGTGTGGTGTGGTGGTTTTTTGTTTGTTTGTTTGCATTTGGATGGTGGCAGTGTTTACCAAGCCAAGGTCTGAGAAAAGCTGTAACCTTGGGAGTTCAATACAAGCCTGGAGTGGCAAGTATTAGTTTTTAAAATCCTTGCGGGCCCCACTTGGAGGAACAGAGTTGGGATTCAGCCTTGATACCAGCAGAATTCAGGACAATAAGGACTCTAGGTATAATAGGAACAAAACGACTCCTGACAATGGTATTGGCCCATTAGTAGTTGGAAGTGGTAGAATTATCAGTAATAATGCAGAAAAGTCAAAAGTATTCATAAATATTTCTGTTCTGTATTTGGGGAAAAAACAGATGATATAATCTCTTCAGATGATGATGATTGATACACTTTCCATTTCACTAACATCCAAAGGAGGATGTTAAACAGTGGCTACTGAAGTTAGACATTTTTAAATCAACAAGTCTAGATAACTTGCAGCCAAGAGTTTTAAAAGGGCTGGCCAAGGAGCTCACTGGACCGTTAATGTTGTTGGTTTTTCAATAAGTCTTAGAACACCTGGGAAAGTTTCAGAAGACTGGAAGACAGCAAACATTGTGTCAGTATTTTCAAAGGGTAAACAGGATGACCAGGTAATTAAATGCTTGTCAGTCTGACGTTGATCCCAGGCAAGATAATGCAGTGGCTGATATGGGACTAAATTACTAAAGAATTAAAGGAGGGTAATATAATTAATACCATTCAACATGGGTTTATGGAAAACAGATCCTATCAAACTACCTTGATTTCCTTTTTTGATGAGATTACACGTTTGGTTGCTAAAGGTAATAATGCTGATGCAATATACGTAGACTTCTGGTAACTGTAAACAGGCACTCATCGACCGGGGGTATTTCTAGCACGGATCTGCAGAGATCCATTCTCGGTCCTATGCTATTTACTTTTTGTCAGTGACCTGGATGAAAACATAAAATCATTACTGTTTAAAGTCCCTAGAAGACACAAACTGGGGGAGTGATAAATAATTAAGAGGGCAGGTGACTAAAACAGACCAATCTGGATTGCTTGATAAACGGGGTGCAAGCAAATGATATGTGTGTTTAATGCAGCTAAATGTGTGTATCTAGGAACAAAGAATGTAGGCCATGCTTACAAGATTGGGTACTCTATCCTGAGAAGCAATGACTCTGAAAAAGATTTGAGGGTTGTGGTGGATAATCGTCCAGTTATGAGCTTCTAGTGTGAGGCTGCAGCCAAAGGCGCTAATGCAATCCTGGGCTGGATAAACAGGGGAATCTTGAGTGGGAGTAGAGAGGTTATTTTATCTATGTATTTGGCACTTGTGCAACCACTGCTGGAATGCTGTGTCTGTTTCTGGTGTCCACAATTAAAGAAGGATGCTGGGAAATTGGGAGAGGGTTTGGAGAAGAGCCACAAACATCATGGAAGGGTTAGAAAACCTGCCTTGCGGTGATAGACTTGAGCGCAATATATTTAGCTTAACAAAGAGAAGGATAAGGGGTGACTTGTCTACAATCTGTAAGTACCAACATGGAGAACAAATAATGGGCTCTTCAGTGTAGCAGAGAAAGGTATAAAACAGTCGAACAGCTGGAAATTGAAACTTGACAAATTCAGACTGGAAATAAGGCGTAAATTTATAACCTTGAGAGTAATTAACTGTTGGAATAATTTACCAAGGGTCATGGTGGAGTCTCTATCACTGGCAATTTTTAGATCAAGATTGGATGGTTTTTCTAAAAAGATTTGGTTTAGGAATTATTTTGGGGAAGGTCTGTGGCCTGTGCTATGCAGGAGGTCAGACTAGATGATCAGAATGGTCCTTTCTGCTTTGGAATCTATGAAATGTGCAGCACAGCCAGGACAAAAATTATAAGGGCTATTAATCCTTGTGCTTCAAGTGACAAGTTGGTAAAGCACCTGGACTCAGAAAGAAATTTCTCTAGTGTTACAGTATTACAGAATTGGCTGGGTGCAAGTCCTCCTGCCCAGTACTTGAAAGCACCTAATATATGCTACTGTCAGAGAGAGGACAGGGGATGGTCTCTTGGCTTGTTACACTATGGTTTTTCATATGTTCCTAAAACAAAGTGTTGTAAGGTTTTGAAATGTTTTGTATTCCATCTAATCAATCAAGGACACCGCTTGTCTGGTAAATATTGCAAGGTTCAGACTTCACAACTTTCATTTCTCTTCCACCTCTCGGCCCCCGCCCACCATGAATTTTAAAATACTTTGGTATCAGTTTATGACAGACTATCTGAAAAGTGTCCTTGTTCTTACAGATATGGGGCTGCTTGTGTTTGAAATTACAGTTTATAGAAGTGCTGGATTGAACTGCTAGATTTTTACAGAGCCATTCCCCTAGTCTACATTCTGTGGAAAGAATTTATCCAGGTCCATAAATACTTGAAATTCAAGACAGCACAAACACTCTGACCTTCTATCTCTGCTTTTAAGAGCCCTGCGAGTTTCCAGAATGTGGAAGGATTTTTGAAAGAGGAAATGGGGACGGAATCCCACAACACAATCTTTGTTTGCTTTTTGGCTCTCAAGAAGAGTATCCAAATCCTCTCAAATGAACCTTACTGGGATTATTTGACCCAGAAAGGACGGGAGAACCACACTTGTTCCATTAAGATGTGCATACTTGGAAGCCCCTTTGGTTTAAACTGAAAACAGTTTTTACCAAAAAAATTCATGCGTTTTTACAAAAAGTATTCATATTTTTTTCTGACTTTTTTTACCCTACTTTTTGTATCCTTTTATTTTTATTTATACACACGCACACACTTGTTTTATTAGGAAAAATACATATATCATGCAATGTACTGTGTTACGATAATACATTAGTCTGTGTGTATATGCAAAGCTGCCTGTTGAAGTAAGGCTATGTATTAGTCTATATTAGAAGACACACACAATAAGCAGACAGGCACGTATGCAAGTTTTGAAGTGTGTGCGCATCTGAACGTACTGATGAATCTCATGCCCACAATGTACACATTTCAAGCTGTTAGCAGATAACGGTTTAAAGATTTGACACACTAAAATGGGAAGACAATGAAAATCTGTATCAGAATGTTTCAGAACACAAGGAAGTAGTCAAAAGCTTAAAAAAAAGAGAAAAGGGATGAAGCTGAGTGTATGCGCTGCAAATGGTGTGGCTCAATTATTAAATGTAAATATTTATAGGCTACTAGCTCTAAGTCTACAATAGTAAACTGTTTGTTTGTTCAAATGAAAAGTTTTATTTGGGGATTAGAGAGAGAATGTTTGTTTTCTTCAGAGGTGGCATTGTGTTCTGTGTTCTGCAGAACTAAAACAGCAAACCACACTGATGAACAGAATTCAAAGCATTAATCTACTGAATACTCTCCTCCCCCCGCCCCCGTTTTTCATCCACCACAATAAACCCCGATATTTACTCAGAAAAAGTATTAATAGTTTTTAGCACTCATTTTCATCTGTTTTTGCTGTTGTGGTAATAAACACTGGGAAAAATTAAATAAAAACTGAAAATGAAGGGTCCTAAACTCATTTCAAATGCATTCATTGCTCCATATGTAGACACTTCATAAATTCTCACATAACAAAAGCTTTGTCGCTGGAGGACCTCACACTTGATATAACTTTTAGTTTTGAAAGCCCAAGCAAGCTGTGAGAGCATTCCTTGGCACTGTCTGAATAAGAATATTGCTAGGCTTTTTGTACTAAAGACACTTTAATTAAACTCCCATCACGAAAACAATTAGGCCAAATTTGCAGTACTTAACTAGTCAATAATTTAGTAGCTGGATCTCATTAATAGACTTCTCCCTGTGACTATGTTGTTGTAATGATGTGGCATTGCCAGCTGTGTGCTACAAGAATCAATCAGTGATCAATATTTTCCATGAGCTTTTTTTTTTTTTTCTTCCTCCCAGAGCCATGAAAAAGAAATATAAATAAATAAATCTTGACTGGATGGGGCTGGGTCTTCATGGTGGCTTTATTATCTCTTGTGGCCACATTCCTGTTTCTGAGGACAATTTTCCTACACACTCAAGCTGGAACAATTTGCATAGAGGGGGGTGCCGAGAGCTGTTGAACCAAACTGTAAACCTTGAATATGATGGAAACCACTTCAAGCCAGAGGGTGTGGCAGCACCCATAGCACCCCTAATTCCAGCACCTATGCACTCCAAAATGATCTTTCTCTGACTCCATTACATTGTTGTATTAAGTTGCATCAATCTGAAGGACAAAAGCAAACGAGCTTGGTTCAGCTCAGTTTACAGATAAGGAACTGAGGCCTGGAGAAACTGAGCGAGGTCACATCACCACAACTGGCTACCTGGTCGGCAGCCTCAGCAAGGTCATAGAGACTGAACTATTCTCAGACATTTAGAAGAGAAATATCCAGGTCAGGATTGAGGCTTTCTGGGTGGCAGTTAAGTTTGTTTTGCTGCTGCTTGTTTGTTTTGCAAAACAAACTTTTGTGTTCAAAGCTGTCAGTATGGCCCAACCTCAGCAAGAAGAGGGGTGTGTGTCTTTCATTGTGGTGGGCTTCACCCACCATTCCCGCTACACCTTTCACCACCATTAATTTTACAACAATAACAAAATCATTTTGAGGAATAACAATATGAATGTCTCCCCCGATGATGGACAAAAACACTGTTCTTCCCTGCCCACAATAGTGCCCTCTCTGATCCACTTGTCTGAATCTAAGCAGTGAATTTTGATTTTTTTATGTCTGTTTCTAACATATAGTTCATCATAGTATTACTGTCCATGCATTTAAAGAGAGGGATACAATTGTTACATTCTTGTTTTATAGGACTGAGTTCATCCAGAGAGGCAGGATATCCATTACCGGAGCAGGGTTGCTCAACTGTGTATTGGAAGCTTTTGCTCAAACCTTTCTAAATCAAGGAGTCAAGAAGGTAGGTTTAATTTATTATTTATATTTGTTCCTAAAATTACATTTTAAATCTGTCAAATTCTGCCTATCCCTAATAATCTAGCTTGGGTTTTAAAATCATAAGGAGTTTAAACTTGGCTTCTTCACCCATCATATAAAAATAACTTTTTGGCCTTTTCCTTTTATTGTAAATAATAAACAGAACAAGAAATGGGATACAGTTTGAATATGTAATAGTAATTTTCCAAACGTATTTTTAAAGCATTATGGGGCACTGCCAGATCAATTTTGTTAAATTCATTATCCTCATTTCCTTTGGACATTGAAACTTTTTCCTGCTAACATTTCATTGTACTATTTAATATACTGTAATAATAATAATAGCTTATCATTTTATAGCACTTTTGCATCTAATCATCTTACAGTACTTAACAAACATGCATGTATGGCTGCACTTCCCCCCCCCCCCCCGAGTAATGTTGGGTGCTTCAGGCAGCTTGATATATTTACAATAGCAACAGTCAATTTTCTTGTAACAATTTTATATGGATCAATAATCCTGTCTTTTTGGTAAGAATTATGAAAGGAAATGAAATAAAAGCCCCTCTGGTATCCAGAAGTGTATCCCAAAGGAAATAATATTCCAACATCATTAGTTTGAGGAAGGCATGTCATATTGAAGATCTGGGTTTACAAACAAAATCTCATGCAAATTATTCACCGTGAAATTGAACGATGTAGAATTCCTACATTCGTTGGGGGTAAGGGTTTTGAGGAAGAGGAGGAGGATATGCTGGTGTCCAACTGGCTCCATATACAACTTTTCATCAGCTAGAAAGGAAAGGGATGCTTAATTAAGCCTTTTCACTAAAAAATACACATATTAAATGTTTTGACAGGTATGTTGCTTTTATGATGCACATAAGTGTGGGTGGGTGACCAGTGGTGCTGCATTTTCATATTGGGATATAAATCTTATATAACGCGCAAAATGTAACTGACCTAAATTTACAGCAGTGTTCCCTCTAAGCTGTGTGCGTGTGCATGCACACATAGATCCTAAACCCCACGCACATGGCGAAACATCGCCCGCACAAAAATTTGCACAGAAGAAATTTTTTGCTCACACAGCCTGTCAAAAATTAGAGGGAACATTGATTTACAGTATTTTTTTTTTTTTCTTTACCAGGAGTAATTTCACTTTTTAAATGCACTTGAAGGATCCGCATTTGTCAAAGTTGACTTCTTCTAATTAGGAACAGATACAAATGATAGACTTCTGGGGTGTAGGATTTTCAGAAGTGTTTTTTTGCGTGCTATCAGATCTCTCTATTCTCGGAGCGAGAGCTGTGTTCGTATTCTTGGCATTAAGTTGAGTTCGTTCAGGGTGGGCATTGGACTCCACCAAGGGTGCATCTTGTCCCCACTCCTGTTCGTGATTTTCCTAGACAGGATATCAAGGCACAGCTGAGCTGTGGAGTGTATCCAGTACGGGATCGCGGAGGTGGCATCTCTGTTGTTTTCAGATGATGTCCTTCTTGCATCCTCCGATTGTGATCTCCAACGTGCACTTGAATGTTTTTGTTGCTAAGTGTGAAGCGGCAGGGATGAGCATCAGCACCTCCAAATCGCAGGTCATGGTCCTCTCCCAGAAGAGAGTGGACTGTTCCTTCCAGGTCAGGGGACCAGCTGCCCTTAGTGGAAGAGTTCAACTATCTAGGGGTCTCGTTCATGAGTGATGGTAAGCGGGAGTGTGACGGCGGCAGTGATGCGGGCGCTGTACTGATCTGTGGTGCTGAAGCAGAAGCTGAGTTCTCGGACAAAGTTCTCCGTTTACAGGTCACTCTACATCCCCATCCTCGCATATGGTTGTGAACTTTGGGTAATGACTGAAAGGACAAGATTGCGGGTACAAGCAGCGGAAGTGAGGTTTCTTCATAGGGTGGCTGGGCTTACTATCTGAGACAGGGTGAGGGGCTTGGCTATTTGGAAGAGCCTTGGGGTACAGCTGCTACTCCTCCAAATTGAGAGGAGTCAGCTGAGGTGGTTCGGGAACCTGATTAAAAAATGAGAGACTGATTGATTGATTTTGAAAATATGGATCCAGGTATTACTCTCAGAGTAATATTCAAATGGTGGTTTTCATTTTTTTTCCCCCTTAGGCTACTCTTGTTACCCTAAAAAGCCTTTATTCTTTTTAAATAACTACTCTCTTTTTACACCTTTTATAAATCCTTTATTTTGTAATGGGTTAAACTTTAAGCACCTTACTAGTATATCACAGCTTGGGGTCAGTGCACAAAATAAAATCCAAACCACAATAACTGTACAATGCTGCACTGGAATCTCTTTGAGAATTTTGGCTATGGCTGCAGATCTGTGGATAAGAAAAACCCAAATTAAACAAAATTGAATTACACATTTATGTACCTTTTGCTTCTATGCTTTTCTTGATAATGCACTAGGAGAGACTGCTTTGGATTTCTTGAAAACCCTTGGGTGAGGATTTCTATTAGAAAGAGTGGGGAATGAGGCGGGTCCAATTATGCTTGGATAAAATATGCTCACTTTCAGCAATAGAAAGATAATCGTTTAAAGTGTTAAAGTAACATATACTTAATAAATGACCATGCTTGCATTCTAAAGATTCCTATAGCTTTGGGTTTACTCTATTCCCAAAGCCAGCACTATGTGAAGATTAATTCATATAGAAATATCTGCTGGTCAGAATTGTGCCAGTAGTAATTCAATTAATCCTAAAGACAGAATCTTGAGACCATTAATAAGGAGAGTCATTTTACCCCTAATGAATTGCCTTTTTCTGCACTGGAGAAGAAATTATGAAATAATTCATTAAGACCTAATAAATCTTCTTGAGATGCAGATTTGTATCTGTACCAAATTTATATCATGTAGCCAAAAAAGAGAGACTTCCTCATTATACCTGGTATTTGTAGTGCTTGTAATAGAAGTGCAATATGGTCAGGATTTTGAAGAGTTTACAGAGAAATACCCATCCTTTCCACCGATCCCATGCCACTAGTCCACATTTAAATCCTACATTTTTAGTTATTAAAATGAGAGAGGTTATTACGGTGGGGTGGTAGGAAGTGTAATTGAAGGACTGGAGGGGAAAGCATTGAGATAGAGCATAGGCTTCAGATGGAGCAGGTGAAAATGCTGTCTTAATATTTACAGTTATGAATAGACGACAGTCAGGTGTCTGTTTTCCCACACAATCAGTATTCAATATCTCTGAATTTCCCATTGTAGTAGAGTAGAAGGCTCTTCTCTATTCATGGAGCACTGGAGAAGGTGATTTTGATTTTTTTTTAGTATATTTCATTACTGAGATATGATCTCAATAACTGTTAAACTGTGTTTTAAAAAAATTGACGGTGAAATCTTTGACTCATACCTCTAGAATTTCTTCTTTGATTTAACTCAAATGTTGACCAAAAATTGTACCCTGTGATGGGGAAATAAACTGTGAAGTGTCAGAATTATTCCTTTTGTTTTGTAGAAGTTAGGAGTTGGAGCTTGAAAACTAGCCTTTAACGGGAAAGTGAACTTTAAGTACAGAGAGATGTGGGGGGGAGAGGAGGGGGCTCGTTTTTTCTTGTTGACCTAAGGCTCCTTTATGGTACTCTGACAGTGTAAAGGAGCCCCAAACCAGGTGGAAATGTATAGGGGGTTCCCTTGCTAGCACAGAACTGACCAGATGGCATAGGGTGCATGCTGGGGAAGGGAGAGGGCAAATCATTGGAGTTACTATCCTGCTATTCTCAGCTTTTCCTGAGCAAGCAGAGTGCAAGTTACAGCGGTTTTGAGACTCGGGGAGTGCAAAGGTGGCTTAAAGCACCAAGTGCAGGATTGGAACAATGGAGAGTTGGGGCTGAAATCTCTCTTTATAATCTAGTGAACGGTGATGTATCAACTTGAGGAGTTGCTACATTACAGTCAGTGTAGAAAGTAAAGAATGTAAATAATTTTTTCCCCTGAAGATTCCTCTGCAGGGGGGAAAAAAAAATCTGTGGCTAGTGTACATCTACATAGTAGCCAATAAGATTGTCTATAGGAATAATTCAAAAATCTGGACAGATATGCTCCAGGAATTCCAGGTATGAAAACATGTCATTCTGGCACCTGTCAGACAGAAGGCCTCTCCAATATTAGAATTCTTGTCTCCAGTTTATTAAATATTGTTAGACATAGCCGCTGGAAGATGCTTACTGGCTTGAAGGGGAATTGGTGAGCAACAAGTCATATTTTTATCCCACTTGTTTTAAAAAAAAAAAAGTGATCTAATTGGTTTGTAGGTTCATTGCTGATCATCTGCAGAGGTAATCGTATACAATCTACCTTTTGCGTATTAAGTAAAACTGTTTTAAGGCCATTTTATAAATTGACCATGCATACCAGTGTGTGTTGATTCCAGTCTTATCCAATGTCTCTAAAGCCCTGCAATGTTTTTATTATTGCCCATTCTTGGAATATTATTTTTAGATTAACTTTTGATGCCAAGAACAGCCAAAAAAATAATGAGATGGAAATATAAATATGAGTTGTGTCCATTGATCTAATTAATCTAAAATGATGATCAAATATTTCTTTAATCTCTCAAATGTTTTTGTCATGGTTACAAAAAACGCAAGATATTAGGATGCTGTTTTCATAGGTTTAGAAGAATATAGAGGAGACTATTGTAAGAAGCAGCTAGTTAATCAAAAACATCAAGGTTACAAAGCTTTGTACTGGAAGTGGAGATGAATTTTACATTCAGACCTAGATTTTTTTTTTTTCCCCAATCAGAATCAAATCTATGGTTTCTACGTAAGATAAAATTCTCCAAGCAGCCACTTAATATCATATTTTATTTAATATTTATACAGTTCAGTAGTTGTACGTGGTACATTACAGACATGATCTCGGTCCAAAGTAGCTTGGAGACTATATTAGTTTTCACCTAGGTTATAAACTACCAGCTAAGGTTCCTTAACGTGGTTGTTTCTATGGTGTTGGAGAGTCCCATAGATTGCCATTCATCAGACTTTCCTTATTTATTTTGTCAACCACCCTCTTGGTTTGTTTTTGTACCTTCTTTGATATCGGATGTCCTGTGTGACACTTCACCCAAACTCTGTAAGCTCTTGGCTGTTACACAAACTAATACAGTAGTATCTAGATATTTGCAAGAAAAGAGAAATTCTTGCAGTAAAAAAAATAAGTTAATAAAAAATCTTTACCATGGAAAAAATAAAACTCTTCTATGGCTTGTCAATCAGAAAAGCTTTTAAGCTGTATCTATAAAGGTGGACAGCTTAATGGGTAAGCAATGTTTGTGCTGCATTTCAAGTGCATCATTGCGCTGTAAGTAGTGCAAATTTAGCCCCTTTAAGCTTGATCTCCTGGGGCTGAGATTTAAGTGTTTGAACTTTAGTTGAAAGGAATATATTGATTAGTCTTTGATTTAGTCATTCTCCACTGAAAAGTTACTCAGTAATGACTTGTACCTGTCCTTTAGTATTTTTTATTCGTTTTATAGATTTTCTCCCCACCCTTCAACAATTCTGCTTGAAAGACTGCAATGCTATGAGGAAGAGAAAAGAAAAAGCAGCTGTCACACTGCGAACATAATTGATTCAATAAATAACACTTTTAAATTCCCAAGGCAAACCTCAGAGTCTTCACTATGTCAATTAGTGCTCTATTCTGTAAATGGTGGTATGCTTAATTTAGACTGATGGGCTAAGCTAGCCAGTTCTCGCTTCCTATGGAAAGAATAGTCATGGAAGGCGAGCTATTATATACATTTCTAAAATTTCACCTGATTTTAATGTAGAGCTGTGTAAAGAAGTGCTCTTAAACTTTTTATTAAAACCAGTATTGCTTTTTATTTTCCACCGCAGCGACTTGAACTGAGCAAGAATTTTCTCAGCTTGTCGAACAGAAGAATACACAGGGTGAAATCCTGACCTCATTGAAGACATGGCAAAACTCCCATTAATTTCAGTGGGGCCAAGATTTCACCAACAGGATCTGAACATGTAGTAGCAAACATTATATATAGTCTGGCAGGGCGTACTCCATTAGGGCTCTTCATCCTTAGCACTGTAACAGCCCAAGTTGGTTAGCATACAGGTGTGCTATAAGGCCTGCTTTTTGTCCTTTGCCTGGTATTGGGCTAGGGCTGGTTAGTGGTGACATGAGGAGTGTATGGGGAGGCTAACTTATTGTTCTTGTCACTGACTTTGTTTGACTTGAGCTGGGTTTCTTTGCTTATTTAGCATTTTTCCGAAAGATTCAGGGGCTCCCAGAGCATTGGATTATTATAGTTTAGTAAATGTTTGAATGAATCAATAAAAAGAACAGGCTAATGTATGTTGCCTAAGACATTGACTGTCCTGAGGATTAACCCCCACTTCAGCAGTCAGTGACAAGTAACCTGTGTCTTGCTCTGGTGTAGTCCTTTAGTGTAGACACGGCAAGTGTCATTTGTACTAGTAGTGTTTACCCCAGTTTCCAGCAGTGTTTAGCTGATGCTCCTTTATTAAAAATAACGCCCAGCTCTTATGCATCATGTTTCATCCATAGAGTTCAAAGCCTTTTACAACAAAGGTAAGCATTATCCCCATTTTACAGATGGAGAAACTGAGGCAGAGAGAAGTGAAATGCCTTGGCAAAGTTCACCCAGCTATCCAGTTGAAGAGCTGGGAATAGAACCCAGATCTGCTGAGTCCCAATCCAGTGCTCTAGCCACTAGGCCAAAGTGCCTTCAGTGAGACTAGAATGCTGTGGGCACAATATGATGTAAACGCTCCTCCTCATCATCTCCCCACAGCCCCATATGCACACACCAAGCTATATAATTGCACTGCTGCCCCAATAATGCTACAGACAAAATTACAATGGAATTATTGCCATTTTATAATAAGGCAGTAAATTGTTTTTTTTCCAGATTTGACCGTCATCCCATTGTTTGGATGGTCTGAAGTTAAGTTATCTGTGTGCATGTTATAGTGTCAGTTTTAATACATGTGATACATATGTAGGTTGTGATTTGCCTGCGTTCTTTACAGGGTATTAGAATAATGGAGACGCTTCTGCAGGAACAGTGTGGGTGCCCATTTTCCTGAGAAGGCACTGTAAGTGTGTCATCAATTTTAAAGATTCAAAATGCAATATGTATATATTTGCACACACAAAATGTGTTTATAAAACAGATTTTTTTTTTAGTTGGTAATTTTTGCTTATATACATTTCTTAACTATATACACCACATGTTTCTACATACAGACTTTATGTAGAATTTGTCGTCCATTTTGAATAATATCCAACACTTACTTATACTGATTTCAGGAAAAAATAATGAACTGCTGCTTTGGGGGACTTGATAATACAGCAGTGTTCCTTAATTAAGACCTCTTTTGATTAAGACCTCTTTTGTGGACTTTGTCTTTTTCTCCCCCATAATTTATCTATCACTAGACCATGACAGTGATAGTCAGACTTAATAAAACAAGATGTTAGCTTTGTCTGGAGATCATTATTGCTTGCAGAAAAGTAATCCCTTCAAAGATTGCCCATAGAGGCAATATTTGGCCAACTTTAAAAGTAGCTTCAGAATGAGAGCAAATGGCTATTGATTAGCTCCTAATAAATATTCTTCTAAAAACTGTTTTCTATGCTTTTTACAGGAAGAAAAGTGTCATCAGAGCAATATATCTTAATTGCTGTCTCAGTTTCCAGAGAAGTTATCCAGATTTTATTGGTACCATTTTATTGAGGAAACAGAATATTCAATATGCACAGCTTGGCGAAAAGATGACAATAGTCTGTACATCTTTCGGATAAGATTAAGGAAAGATATGTTGTTTAAAGGGACTCGGATCCTGGAGAAGCAGCTGTAAATGTGGAAATAAGTCTTCATGTGGATTTCGATGTAATTTCCAGAGACTAAGCATTCACTGAGAGAACCAACATCAGCAAAAACATAAATAGCTCTTTTTGCTGTGGAGAGATCTTCTACCATTTCAGCCAATGCACAGTTGTCTTGAGTCTTGCCAAGAGAGGTATCAATGAATGTTCCCTATTCGTTTTAATAGTTTATTTTGAAGCTTAGCTCTTAGGGGCAGCGATTCTATTCACAGAATGCAGAATCTAATAAGAAATGTGCCATCACTGTTCCATGCTGTTGTGTGGACTCTGCATCTCTCTGCAGGCATTTGGTATTTCCAATGTGTCTGCAAATCCTGAAAACAAACAACAAATTGAAGCTTCCTTTGGAAAAAATTGTCTAGTCCTTCTGAATGTGAACTCATGCAAAACTTCCCTGCTGAGCCTGTAGAAACATGGAAACAGTAGTTCTGGGAGATGTGACTACACCCATTTGGAATCGTCACCCACTGAGGAGAAACCTAGTGATGGCAATTTAAGTGTCAACTTTGCTAATTTCACTGCTGAGACTTTAGCAGAAACATCCATCCGACATGCCTGTGCCAGTGTGGTTGGATTAATTTCAAAGGATGTCCCATGGCTATAAAGTTACAAGTTTTAAAGTGAAAATATTTGTTTGTCCCCCAAATGTTTTTTTTTCCTTTGGTCCTGGTAGGAGCCAATTGAGAAGTTTAAGGGGCTTAGAAGCTCTCTGAGTAAAATTCTTAAGGGAAAAGAGAGCTTCCATGGATGAGGTATTCATTTTGAAAGAGCAATTTTATTTAAAACCTCTCTCAAAAAAAAATACAAGTAATTTAGGGCCAGATTTGGATATGCTTGCTCATGCTGAACAATACCTCTGTCCACAGAGTCCCACTGAAGTCAATGGGTGTCAGGTGGTACTAAGTGCTTTCAGTTGAGCATGAATGTGATTGTTTTTCCTACTGAGGCCTTGGAGAGGAGAAATGTTGGCAAATCCACATTACTGTGTACCATGCCAGAGGATCTTTAATATCCATGCAGAACAGGCTGAGCCTCTGCTTTTAAGACCTTATTGGAACAGCTTGGGGGGGGGGGGGGTGGAAGAAGGAGGGGAGGGAAAGGTAGACCTAGTACACATTTTTAATGGCAAGATCAACTAGCAATAGAATTATTTGATTAGGGAGATACGGAGCTGTTGTTAGTGATGCTTAACAGTCAGTTAAATAAAGTTCTTGTAGCAACAGTGTGGAGGCAAATCTTTTTCAGTATGAGGACAATTGGAGTAGGTAATTTGTCCTTTCCAACCCTATCAGATATAGTTTTTGATCAAAATGGCTAAAGCAGCATGGAGTATAATCACATTGACTGTCTACAACCAGTATATCAAGGCATATTTAACTCACTGCTTCCAGAAGTTAAGCAACTTTTCTGGTCATCTGGAAAATCGAATAGAATTTTTGGGGGCTTTTTTAGTCACAAAGTTTAAGGCACCCTAGGATATAATCCAATATATTAGAGTCCAATAACAACTTTTGTAACTTGTGATTGGGCCGAAAAGGAATTTGCTAACGAGGGGTTTCTCTTATATTTAAAAGTTTGAGGAATGATTCCTGATGGCATATTGCATCATCCTATCTAGGTAATGTAAATCCAACCCAGCAGAGTACTCAAGAACATGAGTAGTGGCGAGTAGCCCCAGTGTCTCCAGTAGGACTACTCGGGTGCCTAGAGTCATAGACATGCTTTCCTAGATCTTAACCTTTATGAAGTGAAGACAGAAACAGAAATGAACAAATATGTTCTGCACAACTCTTAAAACAAACAAACAAACAAACTAAAAAATTAAAAGCTACACTGCTGAAAAGCTGGGCCTTGTAATTCATATATTTCAGCATGACAGAAATCTGATTGCTCATTACACTAAAGGCATGACATAGAGCATACTACTGAGGAAAGGGTAGAGGTAAAAAGACAAGCATTTGGAAGTGAGAAAGTGGGTTGATAAATTGGAATACAAAGTGATGTTTTCTATAATAAGTACACCTCTGTAAACTAATGGTTCTGTTTTGATTTTCATTTTTGGAGTAGTGTATTGTTTATATTGTTTAGAGAGACTACTGATCTTAACTAGGGCATATTTTGGCTTTGTCCCTATGTAATTTGGCAGTTTATGAATGAATAATTTTGATACAGTAGGCAAACAAAAACTTAGAGGATGACTCCGATTGGACAACATAGGAGAAAGACCATGTAGTAAAAGACACTTATGTATCTTGTTAGGTCCAATGACAGTGATGCATCTGTTGAGCTAATCTGTGGGGATGACAGCTCTGCTTTTTTCCCTCTTGGCACTGTTTATCCTGAGATCATAATCATGTAGATAATATCAGTTTGTTGAATAAACTAACAAATTATTTTAGAAGTGCAGCATTAAATGTTTTCTGGAGATTCAAATAGGAAGAATATATGGGATCTAATAGAAAATCTTTCTTTAACCACCCAAAGGACTGGTTGGGAAAAATATCCAAATAATAAGTAACTTTTAGTCTAATGTCCCGTTATGAAAGTTTTTCTAGATGTATTCAATGACTGATTAATGATTGAGAATAGTTGCTCAGATAAATTATGGTGGTAGTGGTATATAATACATAGATACTTTTGTAAACATATAGGCCAAGATTGTCAAAGTCCTACTGTGTCCTTAGTAGGTCCCTAAATAACTGGCTTGATTCCCCCGCTCCCTCCAAGGAGCCTAATTTTATGCACTGCAGGGTCTGACTAAAGGCCTACTTTAGTCAGGGGAAAGAAATATATTTGCTTTGGATTGGGCCCACAGTTTTAATAATCTTGGCCATAAGAACTCCCTAAAGTCATGTTCCCTCATATTTGCAAATTTTCCTCTCCTGGATAGTGCTGCATTTGCCATCCAGTGAAACCTTTTAAAAATTAAATATTTTTTTCCTTACTCAAGACAAATATACCTGGGGCAAAATAATTTTGCTTGCTTTTTCTCTGGAACTTTGTCATTCTTGATTAAGTCTATGCTTCCAGGCAATTTAGAAATTCTCTTTAAGCGTTGCTTATTGCAGTTTTTATTACTGGTTATTTTTAAAATATTTTTGTTCGTTTGTAGATTACTCTAAAGCTCTAGGGGGAAGAGTTTTATATACAGTTAAACAAATTTTGTTAAGGAACAAAATAAACAAACAACTCACAAAACTAATAGGAACAATCCTAGATAAAATGATGACTCTAAGCTCTCAGCAATGAGAGAGTCTGTGGAGGTGAGGAAGGGCAAATTGTACTTCAGAATGAAGGAGATCATTTGTCTTAACTATATTGTGTTTATGAGCTTTGTCATGGTAGGATGAAAATTTGTTAATTTAACATAGCAGTATGCACTCAGAACATTTCAGATAGCTAATTGCTAATGTTGCCATTAAGCTATCGGGTGTGCGTGCGTGTGTGTGTGTGTGTGTGTGTGTGTGTAAAATATAATTTTTTAGCCAAACCAGCTGCTAGTATAGCATATAAAAGAAAATCATGTATGTGGAACAATGAGTCAGGGACTTTATTTCAGCCAGGTAATTCATTATCAGCTTAGCCATATGGTGAGGAAAGGTGCTATATATTTTTTTATATATATTTTGAGTGTATGAATGTGTATTAACTGTTGGATACACAATGTTCTTTTATATGCAAACTACTACACTGTGAATATTGAATGTATTATCATGCCATTGTACGTATGCTGCGTGATTATACAAAGGCTACTTGAACACAAAGGAAATGTAAAATGTCAGCTAACTACAACAGCAAATGACATCACTTCACTGTACAACCTTGAAATAGTGCACCTCATTACATTGCAATTCTTTTATAAAATAAAATGATTAAAACTCCTGTTTCCAGATTATGCTCTGCTCCTTTTGGAGGTTCCCACCACTGGGCTTGCTCAGATACACACGAAAAAGAACTCTGGTATCTCCCCACCCCACCCCCGCCAAAGTCAAATGGGACTACTCATGTTAGCAAAGTTATGTATATGCATGTTTACAGGATTAAGCCATGTGCTAGAGTCACAGCTCGTTTAAATTTGCATTGCTCCTTTTTAAATCGGTGGGCTTACATCCGTTTATCAATTGAAAATTTGGCCCCAATATGTCTTGTGTGGAAAGAACCCTGAAAAATCCATGGATATTGGCACAATGGACTGAATTGCCTCTAGTTTTGTTTCTCACTTTGCTCGTTAACTGAACTCTTATAATTTAGGTCTTTGAGCATTGAATAATAAGCATTTGTGAAATGTGAGAAGCATGTAATGACCAACACAAAATACAATTTTCTGATATATTTATAGGTATTCTCTTGCATGTTAATGCTTTGTATTGCTTAGAAGGAAATGATAAAATTATTTCTCATAACTTGAAACCCCTCACTGCTTAGAACAACTGCTTGGAAATTTGTGACTGGCATTTTGATTCTTGATCAATAGCCATATTATTTCAATGGATTTTTTTTTTTTAAAAGCAGAACACATCAGTGGGAGCTCAAACTAAAAAACTGATGCCATGATCTAATCCCCAAATTTTCATTTGTTACAGTCTTCACAAGTGCATTGAAACATTTTTATTCTTGGGGTAGATGGTTTAAAAATCTTGCAGTGCATGTCAAGAAAATAGACCAAATATAAAGGTAAGTTACATTTTGTACCCTCCAAGGTTTGCAGTTATTGTCATTTTTGAGTTAGTTGCAAAAACTAATCCCAAAATGTTGATAGGAACATTATTTAGCTGAATATCAAGTGACAGAATGATACCTTTTGTGGTGCAACAGACATAGAAAATCTAAACCAGTGTTTCTCTACCCCCAGAGGGGTCATTAAAGGCAATTGGGAAGTTGTGAGCCATTGACAATTGTACTACAATCAAAAGCAAAGAAATATTGCTTCCCTATCCCCTCACACCCTTCAAGGTCAACCTCTTGAAACACACACCAATAAATTATACAGGCTTATCATTGATACAGTCTTATAGTAAATGTAAAGGGATTGTGAAAAATTCTGAGTTTCGATAGGGGGTCATCAGCCTGAAAAGGCTGAGAATAGGACTGTCAATCGCAGTTAACTTGCACGATTAATTCAAAAACTTAATTGTGATTAAAAAATTGACTGATCGCACTGTTAATCAATCTAATACCAATTGAAATGTATTAAATATTTTGGATGTTTTCCTGCATTTGCAAATAGATTGATTTCTATTACAACACAGAATACGAAGTGTACAGTGCTCATTTTAATTTTTTATTCCAAATATTTGCACTGTAAAAATGATAAAGAAAAGAAATAGTATTTTTCAATTCCTCATACAAGTACTGTAGTGCAATCTCTTTATCCTGAAAGCGTAACTCATAAATGTAGATTTTTGTTTTGTTACATAACTGCTCTCAAAAACAAAACAACGTAAAGCTTTAGAGCCTACAAGTCTACTCAGTCCTACTTCTTGTTCAGCCAATCGCTAAGATAAACAAGTTTGTTTACATTTACGGGAGATTCTGCTGCCAGCTTCATATTTACAATATCACTTGAAACTAGGAACAGGTGTTTGCATGGCATTTTTGTAGCTGGCGTTGCAAGGTATTTGTGTGCCAGATATGCTAAACATACATATGTCCCTTCATGCTTTGGCCACCATTCCAGAGGACATGGTTCCATGCTGATGATGCTCATTAAAAAATGTGTTAATTAAATTAGTGGCTGAACTCCTTGTGGGGGAACTGTATGTCTCCGGCTTTGTTTTACCTGCATTTTGCCATATATTTCATGTTATAGCAATCTCGGATGATGACCCAGCACAGGTTCATTTTAAGAATGCGTTTTGTCAATTCTGCTGTGTTCTGCTGTGAAAGCAAAGATACCAATGTGAGATTTCTAAATAAAGCGAGCACTGTACATTTTGTATTCTGTGTTATTGAAATCAATATATTTGAAAATTTAGAAAACATCCAAAATATTTAAATAAATGGTATTCCATTATTGTTTAACAGTGCGATTAATCATGATTAATTTTTTTATCACTTGACAGCCAGAGTTGAGAAACACTAATTTTTAACCTATCCAGAAGCATTTCTACAGTGCACATCACTAAAGTATCTAAGCCATGTACAGTACATATAGCCAATGAAGTCCAGTCCAGTTTGTGTGTTTTGCCTGCATGAACTCTTAACCATGAAAACAATGGGTAAGATACATAATTTTTACAGCTGTGCATCAATAAAAGTTAGCAATTTGTCTGCTGCTACAATTTCTGCACTGATGGACTTCATGAATGCTGTGTCCTTCGTTGCGCAGGTTGAAATGTTTTGTTGCTGTAACTTTACCCTTTGCCTTCTCTTTGATGATTAAAATCGTTAGTCAGACAGAAATCGAAGAAACTCTTGTCAACAAGTCTGAAGAAGTCCCTTAGGACTCCACAAAGTGAGTTCAACAGAAAAGTGGATCTGACCGATTAGTTCCTCAGGGAATCTACTTACAATAGAGATGGGAGTGGGGTGGATATAAAAGGTCACATTTAGTAGTGTGGGGTGAATCATATGAAACTTCCATATTTTCACAGGTAGGAGAAGGGATGGCAAGTCTTGGATTTCATCAAGCTGGTAGCAAAGAATAGCATTATAAAAGATTTTTGTGGCCATAGCAGATAGAGATTATCTTGTGAAGCATATGTGGAAGCTAGAGTTTTAGGGAGTGTCAAAGACTCTAGTATTACTTTTTTTCCTTTTAAAAATATTTTTGAGTCTCTCTGAACAATTCAGTTAATATAATCCAGCCAGGCTTATTTCAGGAACAAATTGTTCTTTCTGCTATAAATTTATTTATATGGGTTGTCTGACTTATATTGCCAGTCCAAGTCACAGACAAACATTTTGAGATAAATCGAGGGAAGTGAATGTGTAAATATCTGTTTTCTCCTCTCAACTGCTCAGTAAATGTGCTTGTCTCGTTATAATGATTGCAAACATGAAGAGTACGCTTTTAGTCTCCTGGGTAGAGAGTATTGTAAATAGAACAAAGTGCAAGGGGGAGGGATAGTTGGGGTGTGTGTGTTTAAAGATGTAATCTGGAACATCCAAACAAAGATTTAACTTACTTGCAGCATGTTTCTTCCAAAGAATCAGTCCCTCTTAATTTAGAAACCAAGTGTTTCCACCCTATATTCCTCAGCCATTCTGTAAGCATGTTCATGTTTTTACATAGGTGCAGTATCCAGAGTATTCTTTCTGCAGACAAGACCTATATTCCCTTCATTAAGGAGTATTATATGAGACTCAAGTGAATCTGTTTATATATATTAGTGTGAGCAGCCGCAATGTAACTTGTTAGAGACACAAAGCCGGTGTACATATAGTAAAGGGACTTGACCCTGTGTGGTCATATATGTTTTAGGGGAGGGGTTCTCAAACTGGGGGTTAGGACCAAAAGGAGGGGAATCAGGGACAGAGGTGGATGGTGGGGAGCCTAAGAGAGACAGAGAGAAACAGAGTCTGTGAGTAAGGGGAAAGGGTAGCTAGAGGGATGGAGGGTCAAGTCAGTGCGTGTTGGTGTGTTGCTTAATCTGTCCCTGTGTGATCCTGATAATTGGTTCTGGTCAGCTCCAATCATTGATTCATGTAGTCCTTGAGATCCAGAACAGCAGAACCAAAGGTCCTTCACATTCAGTAGGTCTGCTCTTCTGTGCACCCCTGCAAGCAAGCACTACTGGAGTTCAGGAAGTTATAAGAGGTGCAAAGACTGGCTTGGGCATAAGACAGCACCCAATGAGAGATCTGGGGAAAGGGGAGCCTTTAACTAATTAAATAACCTATAAGATAATAGCCTGAGCATACAGAGAAAGCTCTAGTCATATTTCTTAGAGCAGTGATACTCAGACTGAGGCTCATGAGCCCCAAGTGGCTCTTTAATGTGTCTGCTGCGGCTCTTTGCAGCATATGATATCTAAACAGTGTGTGATTTAATTGGTAACCAATCTAAGTTATTAACCAGTGAGGAATACGTTATTAACTTAGTGCAAGTTGACAGATACTCTTGCAGTGAATAAGTTAATAACTTTATCCACTTAATATTTCCCCTTTCATGCTCTTTTTAAATATGAGTATATAGTATTAAAATAAATGAAGAAATGAATTCATACTACTGTGGCTCTTTTGGGTAATCTTAATTGCTAATTTGGTTCCTGAACCACTGAGGTCTGAGTATCACTGATTTAGAGGATCATATTTAGTTAAGTACACTTAGTGAGTGTATTTTCAGACCATTATACATTTTTTTCATTATTTTTTTTTTTGCCTATTCTATGTTGTAGGTAAATGGAATCCAGTCCCATTTGTTCCAGCTTCAACAAAATCCCCATTTTGTTGGGGTTTATATTTTGACAACCTGTTTATTCAATTGTAACCAAGATACTACATCTTTTATCATAGTACAGCACCCCCTCCAGCCCTTACCTGCAGGGTAAATTATACCACTACTATGACTGACCATTACTAAATCTTGGTTGGTTGTTTTGGGATGGGGTGACACTCAGTTGTGTTTCAAATTATAACACAATTACCCTGATCTGAAAGGTCTTTTTACACCTGTAAATGTTGGCATGTTTACCATTAACTTCATAGAATTATAGGAATGTAGTGCTGGGAGGGACCTCAAGAAGTCAAGTCTAGCCCCCTGCGTTGAGTTGGAACAAGTAAACCTAGACCATCCCTGACGGGAGTTTGTCTAACCAGTGCTGAAAAACCTCCCGTGATGAGGATTCTACAGCCTCCCTTGGAAGCATGTTCCAGAGCTTAACTACCCTTAGAGTTAGAAAATATTTCCTAATATCTAACCTAATTTTCCCTTGTTGCAGAT